ACAGCAACCTCAAACTCCTGGGCTCAAGTGATCCTCCTGCCTCAGCTTCCCAAGTAGCTGGGACTACAGGTACTCACCACCATGCCCAGCTAATTTTTTTTTTTAATTTTTTTTTTTTTTTGAGACAGAGTCTTGCTCTGTTGCCTGGGTTAGAGTGCCGTGGCGTCAGCCTAGCTCACAGCAACCTCAAACTCCTGGGCTCAAGCGATCCTTCTGCCTCAGCCTCCCAAGTAGCTGGGACTACAGGCATGCGCCACTATGCCCGGCTAATTTTATATATATATATTGTTAGTTATCCAGATCATTTCTTTCTATTTTTTTGTAGAGACAGGGTCTCGCTCTTGTTCAGGCTGGTCTCGAACTCCTGACCTTGAGCGATCCACCCGCCTCGGCCTCCCAGAGTGCTAGGGTTATAGGCGTGAGCCATCGCGCCTGGCCACCCAGCTAATTTTTTGTTTCTTTTTTCAAGTAGCTGGGACTACAGGTACTCACCACCATGCCCAGCTAATTTTTTGTTTCTTTTTTTATTTGGCCAGCTAATTTTTTCTATTTTTAGTAGAGATGGGGTCTCACTCTTCCTCAGGCTGGTCTCAAACTCCTGACTTCAAGTGATCCTCCCACCTTGGCCTCCCAGAGTGCTAGGATTACAGGAATGAGCCACCATGCCTGGCCTGTCCCATTATGTTTTTAAACTCAAGCACAGTCTTATGAATTTATGATTTTTGTTCACAGATGACTGGCAAACCCCTATAAAAATAAAACTTTCTTGAAAAATATGATGTATGAAATATTAGAACCATAAAAAGTATTTAATGACCTTGTAAAAGAAGAAAAATCACCCACTGCAATCATTGTTAAGCATTATATACAGGCCTCCAAACAGGGTTTATAATTTTTCTCTCAGAAAGACTTTTCATCAAATAATTGGCTTGGACAAAACAAGCATGACATTTAAAGTATACTCAATAAACAGATTTATACACTTTTTACTCAAAATAACCTGTGGTTTTAAGTTACCATCTTATCTGAAATGTTAATTAAGACATAAAACAGCACACAATGGTTTTTACATATGATTTTCTATAATAGGAAACTGGTAAATTTAAATTCAATTAATTTTCCAAGTCAATTTCATTTGTAGAATTCTTTACCAATGCCAGTCCTTCTTGTTTTTATTATCCGTTTTGAATTTTAAAAATATTTTACTGATAGATATCCCAAGTACATTGATTTGATCTTTACAAATTATATGATTATTACATGTAGTCCAAAACTATGTATATCTATTATGTATCCATAAAAATATATTTTATAATATTTTGAAAAATATACATGACATTTAATTTTGGAAAATCTATATACTATTATTATTCAAGTAGGTCAGTCTTTGTTAAATCTACTATAAAAGTAGATCCTTAACTCAATTTGCTGGGATATATTTTCATTTTACACATTTATTATTTAGAGGCAATGATATTTAATATACTAAAAAAGTAATTTATTAATTGATTCTCAATTGGTCTGAATGAATGAACACATCATCCACAGTGTGGGCCAGAAATGGTGGCATACACTTCAGTTGTAAGGCCTTGGGATTTGGAATCAGAAAGGTCCGGATTCTAGTTCCAGCTCTGTTATTTATTGGTTGTGCAAACTTTGAGCAAGTAACTCATATCTTATAGTCTCAGTTCTCTCAGTCATTAAATGTGAAGAGCAGTACTACCTATTTCATAGAGCATGAATACAAAGTGCTTAGTACCAGATCTGGCACATATAAGTGCTCAATAAATGTTAGCTATTAGGTAATAGATGGAATTTCCATTTCAAAACCATTAAAATGTTCTATTATACAGCACTCTGGAACAATATGGAAAGTGTCATTATTTACATTTTACAGATGATAAAGTGAGGGGCAGAGACAGTTGAGTGGATCAACAGATTTATTAACTCAGGTGCATACAGTTAAAGAGAAGCATAAGGGCACCTGGCTGTTCAGACAACTCTGGTAATTTAAGGTCTGATGCTGCCATTCTTTCTAAGAATGGAATTTTCTTCCACTTTTTTAAAAGAGTAAAGAAGAAATAGTGCTCTGTGATAAAAGTCACAAAAAAGTCAAGGATGCTGTCTTAGTTCATTTCACCTGCTATAACAAAATACCATACACTGGGTGGCTTATAAACAACAGATATTTATTTCTCAGTTCTGGAGCCTGGGAATTCCAAGATCAAGGCACCAGACAATTCATTTTCTGGTAAGGGCCTGCTCTCTCACGGACAGCCTTCTCACTACAACCTCACATGGTAGAAGGGGCAAGGGAACTTTCTGGGGTCTCTTTTATAAGGGTATTAATCTCATTTATGAGGGTTCTGCCCTGATGACCTGATCACTTCCCAAAGACCCCACCTCCTAATACCTTGGGGGTTAGGATTTCAACATATGAATTTTAAGGAGACATAGTCAGTCCATCGCAGATGAATACAGGAGAGATCAGCATATTGTAGTTCTCCTTCAGTGTAGCAAAAAAAAGTCTCTTAACCATTAACTTTCTTCTCTATAAAAAGGGATTTCATTAAATGGTAGCTCATTTGGTGGAGCCAACCATACAGAGTAATTGATCACATAATGTTTAAATTTGAAATAATTTTCTTAACTAACTCAGTTTAAAATGGAAATAAGTATCTTACCTTTACTCTGCTTTCTCCTCTTATTCCTTAGAAACATCATAATCTTTTTTTCCCTTCCACTTTTTACTGACCAAACTTACTAAGCAAATTTATAGAGCTCATAAAATTTTAAACTAAGTTGGAAGGAAACTGAGAGGATATCTAGTCCAAACCTTTCATTTTAAGGTGAAGAATGAGGCCAAGAAGGGAAATGACTAAAATAAAATAAAAGCCCAAGTGGGCCTAGAACCAATTGTCTTATATCTCATGAGGTGTCCCACTACCAGGGTATCAAATAGATAGGCCAGGCGGTCACTAGAGTATCCACACCAGACATCAGCCATCACATCATCATTTCCTTCTTAGTCTTAACACCCTGGAGTCCTAATGTTGCACTCAAGCTAGCTGTTGTCAGTGAAAGTGGCCACATCTCTTTAATAATTTAGTAAATGTGAACCTAAAATTCCCAGCTTAAAATGTTAACACCATTTTTCCCCCTTCCCTTTGTCTTTTGAATTTAAGAAATAATTAAACCTTTCAGGGCAGTAATGACATTTTAGGGAAATTTGAATTCCACACATTCAAAATGTGGTTGGAGGTCGGGCACTTTGGCTCACACCTGTAATCCTAGCACTCTGGGAGGCTGAGGCGGGAGGATTGCTTTAGCTCAGGAGCTCAAGACCAGCCTCAGCAAGAGCAAGACGCTGTCTCTACTAAAAATAGAAAAA